GCGGTTTAGTTCCTGAGGTACATCTAAATTTGTATCTACAGAATAATATTAAGAGGGCTGCACATGCAGAGACTTAAAGGAAGTTTATGAGTGTTTTAATTCTCTGGAAGCATACTGAATGGGATAAAAGTCAAAGGAAGTTGACATAAGGGTACATTTTATATTACATTTTAGCCAAAGTTTGCCAGTGCTGGCCTAGACACTGTCCAAACTCTCAATTAAAAACGTTTTGGCTCTTTTAAAAACAATTTAAAGACAGATTTTTTAAATTGCAGCTTTAAATTAAATAAGACATTTGAATAAGTTAATCATAAACAGCTAAGCAAAAACATTCCTGCCATGTTAACTCAAACACAGTCAGAAAACTGGACTCGGTTTGAATATCTTAAATATTGGATGTTGGATATTATGATATAGGAGTATTACTGTCCTTCAATATTTAATTGAGACCAGATTTGGTGGAAGGAAACGGTTTGGTGAAAAAATGCGACAACACTGAAAATGTCAGGGGCATTCAGCCAGAATGATGTCTGAGTGGTTTCCCAGCCTAAGTGATGGGATGAGTGAGAAAACACTGAGTGACAAATAAACAGACGGTGAAGTGAGACTGAACGGAGAATGAATCATCCCGACTGCCACCTTTTCCTGTGTTCTCCAGTGATACTCAAATTATTTTCTCTCATCTCTGATTATAGGAGGCAGTCGTGAATTCTTTTTAAAATGCAACCACAAATGCTTGGTGGCCGAGGAAAAATGTATTTGCCGTGGGAAATACAGAGGCCTTTTTGTCCCTTGATATTTGGTAGACAAAGAAACCTTATACCTGATATACACGTCTCTTCTATATTATCTGCCAATGCTTAATTCACACATAATAGCCGAACAGTTCACACCCTAAACTTTACCTTAACTTGGTACAACCTAAGCCTAAATCAGAAAAATTATAACACATTTTTCTTTAATCGCTATTAAAGAGAGACTAGGTAACTTTTGAAAGAAGAAATAACACAATCTTCAGCAGTCCCTCAGCGGTTCAACTGCTACTGCCTTACTTGGTCTGGTATGATGACCAGTAGTTTATGGAGGCTAATGTTAGCAAACATTTTGCTTTAAACTTTATGACTCTTTTCCACTTGTGCTACTGTGACAATAACTTCACATTCAGCTCTTTTTTTAGCTTATTGTCTCATAATCGTTACTTGTAGCAGCAGCAGAGGCTGTTAAACAAAAGTTACATAGTCACACAGATTCCCTGTTCAGTAATGGATTCCTAGATTGTCATGTAAAAGCTCAAATGCACTTTTAAATGCAGTCTTTAAAAACACCTGCACTTCACAGTGTTGGACACTGATAAAGCGCTGGAAAATGTCATTGAGCTAAAGGCAAAGTGAGAGCTGAGGATTGAGAAGGCTTGATATTTGTGATACTTCTAATTAACACATGGTTTAATTAGCCTAAATACGAATCCAGAACATCAGTTTGGGACATCCCAAGCTGTGGGTGAAGGCCCAGAATGGGTCTTCTTTCAGAATAATGGTCTCTAGGACAACAATGACAGGAACAGTAATAACATTTTTATGAGAGAGTTTTTAAAACACCAGCTTAAAATACTTGTAAAACTTCAAATACACCTGTCAAATTCTGCTGTAATGTTGTTTTAGAGATTTGTCTTGGCTTTCATCAAGCTTTTCTTTGAGAGGAGACCAGACAGCAGTAACACACAGCCAAGAGCTGAGCACAAAGTCTGAATTGTTGCAAGGTGCAGGAAACAGAGACAGAGGAAGGACAGATGAGACCCAAATACCCTGAGGATTCTGCCCGCTGTGGTGTGTGTTTGTACAGTCACTGATTGTACCTCCTTCTTCCAGCATTCAACTATGAATGTTATATTGTAAGAGGTAATAGACAGCAAACAAACCTTACTGCACGCATACACAAGAAAAAAAATCCTCACACCTGGCTTGAGGCAAGCTTGGCAGGGTAATAACACTGAGCACATCAGCTAGCCAGCCCTGACCGTCACAGATGGTGACAGAGTGACGGAGGGACCATGTGAACTGAGGGGCCTCACAAAGAGAGAAATAAAATGAGGAAAATAAATAGAGAGAGCCGTGAAAGGAATAAATAAGAGAGAGGCATAAGGATGTTCATTGTAATTTTAAGGTTTTTTTTCTTCAACTTATAAAGACAAGTAAATATAATGGAACAATTAGAACAAATATGAGCACAAAAAAGTAGCTGATACAAATAAAATGAGACAAAATAAAAAAACAACACAAATAGAACAAAAGTGGGGCAGCTCATTTACACAATAAAAATAGTAGGCATATTTACTTCCTCCTACATTTCCTTCTTTAAATAGGTTAAAAAATGAGACTACACTTTGTAGAAATCCTCTTGTGATCAGAGTCAAAAGATCATTCATTTTAACCATTCAGCAGTAGTAGTAAAGTATCCTAGAAATGCCAACAAACCCTGCTAAAGCATGATAGAAGTGACCTGTCTGCTAATGGACACATCTGGGGAGCGATTCATGCAACCACTCTCAAATACCTTTGATGACTTATTTCCAAAAAGGAGAAACAAAAGAGCACATTAAATGGAGTAATGGAAGTACCTGCTTTATTTTCACACTTCCAACAGTTATGATCATCCACGAGTCCCATTTTTGAAGCTTAACTGCTGTATAACAATACCTGTGTATAATGTTGTAATTTGGTTGTGCACTCCTGCGCACAATCAGCCTCAGACGGAATCACATGTTGTTCCCCTTTTCACTGGAGTAAGTGTGCTGAAAGATAGAAAGAAAAAGTGAGTGGAGACAAGGGCAAGGAGAATATGAAACGACAGTTGGGGGAAGCCTCTGCAAGACCTTTCTCCCACTGAGGGACAGTTAAAACTGGGGTAAGACAGTGCGTCTGCTGAGTATGTTACATGCGTCTTCTGGGTCATCCTCTGTTTATCTGTTGCTACATGACTGTACAGTAATCTTAGCACATCTCTAATCACCATAATGTCTTGCATAATGCCAACTTAATTAGTTATTACCCTCTGGCCTCACCTGCTATTTCTGCCCGGACAGGGAAAGCTGTCACATTAACATTAAACACACTAAATTGGCTATCTGATCCACACACTGTAAATCTGTCGACAGTCTGCATGATCCTAACCTTTTATAACTTCTCAGGATGTCAGCATACGTGACAGCAGAATCAGTGCGACGTGTCTCCTCAGGTCTCAGACAAAGCCCCCTGGTGAGGCGATCACTAAGTATTGATCACAAACCTTATCATGCCCCTGCAGTCATTTTTCTCACCTGGCTTGTAAAAAATAAACTTTTCAAAACACCAGGTTAGTTGAATGAGTACTTTTTGAACCCTTTCAGACATACCAGACTAATCTTTCTCTGGCAGGGTTAGCTCGGGGCAACATTGGATATTACGAGAATTAAGCGCTTAAGAATTTGTCAGGATGGATTTAAGTCAATTTGTGTTACGTGTACCGTATGTACAGATACCAAACTGGACTCTTGAGTCTTTGGTTTTACAACTTCTAGCTCCAGCTTTCCTCTTACACTGCTGCTGCTCTCGCAAAGCCCTGGCAAGTAGTCGAGGCAGAAGTATAGATCATATCCAACTTCTTGCCATCCCTCCCCATCGCTCATCTCCATGTTCAGACCTCTGGCTTTATTGGTAGATGAGTGCAGTTTAATTAACATTATTAACAGCAATAATCCATCAGCGGACAGGACTGCAGCCAAATCTAGTTCTCTCCTCTCTCATCATCTGTCCTATCTTTTGAGTGTGTGTGGATGCAAATATTTTCAATTTGTTCCTCCTCTCTGTGCGTTTGTTTGCCCTCCTATCTTTCTTTTTTAGTGCGTCGTTGTCATCGCTCCTTCTGATTCTCAACTTGTTTAAGCCCCCTGTCTATCTGTCTTTCAGATTTGTTCCCAGCTTTTCCCCCTATCTTGCAATTAGGCATGCAGGGAGGGTGGGAGAGAAAGAGGATGGAGTTAGCGGCGCTCGTAACGAGAGATGAAGTCAGATGAACTGATAGAAAACAGCGCTCACTGTGTCCTGCCCTCCTCTTATCTCTGATCGCACCATTAGCTATACACAGAGCAAGCCGCTCAGCTTGTTTTAACGCTCCGCATTCCTACTAATTAATATACGTGAGGGTACTGTATATGCTAATGCTGCAAAGTCACTGTAGCAGAATGAGAACATGCAGCAGGGCATGAGAAGTACTGCTTACTTAAGTAAGACACTGAATCCTGACCTTTGACCTCTCTGTGGCAAAGCATCAAATGCCATATATAAAGATTTTACAGTATACAAAACGCTCGCTGTGTCTGTGTTTCTGCCTCACCGTGTGGTCGAAAGTCATCCCAGCTGATTATCATATTCCTCATTATGAGCAGCAGATGTTTTTGTCAGGGAAAACACTCGTCTCCTTATCTCTCCGCCGCTGCAGAGTGATTTGTTAGTGTGTATAATAATTTGCGTGAGGGGGTGGGAGAGGTTGACGTATAAGAGGCTTGCAGTCAAGTCTAGCCACCTTCCTGTTCATCCGTGTGCGTGTGTGTGTTTGCGCGCGCGCGCGTGTGTGTGTGCGTGTGCATGTGCGTGTGCGCAGCATAATAATGTTCCCATGTCCTACACGCCAAAGACCTGCATTACTCAGAGGAGTTGTGTCTAGTACTATAGCCTCTCTCGGGATCATTTATCACAAAGGTTATCACTGCATTGTTATTGTTGTTTGTGTGTGTGTGTTCTGGCTTTTGTCGTTGTCCACCTTTTTCTCAAGAGTAATTACGTTTTTCTTACCCTCTTCTCTCCCCTAATACGCTGCCCTTCGTCTTCAACCATATATACTGATTATTCTCTACCACTGCTCTCTTTTATACTATATCTTTCCTCATTAATCTCCTCTCTCTTTGCCTCTCTTCTTCCTCCTTCCTTCCTTTCTTCCTTCCTCTTTCTCTCCTTCTCCTCCAGATGAAGGCCAGACAGTTTGCCACAATCCCCCAGAGCTGGCGGGCCAGCGGTTGGCGGAGGTCGGCATGCAGCTGCGGGCAGACTGCCATCAAGGCCTGGGCTACTGGGACTACCTCTTCTTCATCGCCATCGGCTTTGTCATCTTCTCGGCCGGTACAGTGTCGGCCTGGGTGATGGGCGTGCTCATGGTGCTGTACGAGCGCTACAGCAAAAGGAAGAGCGAGGACATGGACAGCGACGACGAGGAGGATAGAGCAGGGATGGGCGGAGGAGGTGGAGGAGGTGGAGGAGGAGGAGGAGGGAACCAGGGGAATGGGGATCTGAGCAAGCCCAGCATGCAGGTGTGACAGACTGATGTAAAACAACGTGAGGAGGGATGATGAGAGAAATAGGACAGAGAGGAAGAACCAGAATGAGAAGACCAAAGGCTCTGCAATGAACCAAGATCTGACTGTCTCTCTTTGTTCCAGATATAGATATCGCAATATGCCCTTCACCGTTTTGGACAGAAAGTGTGTGTGTGTGTGTGTGTGTGTGTGTGTGTGTGTGTGTGTGTGTGTGTGTGTGTGTGTGTGTGTGTGCATTGGAGAAAAAGAAAGACAGACAGAGACAGCAATAAGGATGACTATGCCTTCACTTCAGGAGTACAGAATGACCTCTGAGATTATTGAGAGCAATAACCCCCAAACAGACAACAACAACAACACACACACATACACACACACACACACACACACACACACTGCTCATCTCGGCACAGAAACTCTACAGAGCTGCTGGTTTCTCTGAGTGGGCTGATGGACCTGCATACTATGTGAAGTCCTAATGTTCTGTAATTGATGATTATATGAAGATATGTTATGTGAGTGACACATTCAAACACACACAGTACATTCATACAGAAAAGAAGGTATTGGGGGTCACAAAGAGAGTGATGCCTTATCTCTACTATAATAAAAAGGGAAAACTAGTACATTTCACTATGAAGATGAGTGATTTTACTGAATGCCTCAAGGCAACTCACTTGAAATAGTGTCACTGTTGTCTCCTATTGACAGAATCTGTCCAGAAAAGGTTTGGGATATGTTAAAATAATCTGAATGTAAAAACTAACTCACTGTTATTATGGAACAAAGATAGATAATGTTAACAGAGTGGAGACGTGGTTCCTGCTGCTGGTGAGGTACTGGTGGGATTTCCATGTGGGTTATGACGTTTAAAGGTACCATGTGCAGGTTTTAACCACTTGTGGTTCTAAGGGATAACGTTTTTTGTTTGTATCTCGTGCTCTGTCTACATGCAGGAGCTCACTAGTGACACGATTTATATTCCTGGTCAACCTGTTCTCACTCCCAAGTCGTCACATATGGACACATAGTCAAGAGCCATAGTTGTCAGTTTGGGACACACTGGGGATCCCTTTACCGCCATAGTTTTTTGATGGTAAAGGAAGGTATATGATATTTAATAGAACAGTAAGGAGTAAGGAGGTGGTTGTGGTAGATGGAGGGACAGAACCTGGACTTTGAACCAGGTTAGCGGGTTCATGCCAGTGTGAAACAAAAAGTCAACATTAAATAATTTTATTTTGGCCAAGGGGGGTAAGCCACAGATAAAATAGTGAAGCCGACCAAATGCTGCATGGACGGTTCCATGTAGGCCCAAAAACGACGGCAAAACCCTGTGACATCCTGTCGCACATGAGAGATGTAACGGTATTGCTTGGATTATAAACTCTTAGTGAATCTAAAACAACTATTCGGCCATCAGTGACGCTGCATTGGTGTTTGGCAGGTGAGCCTCGTATGTGGGCTGACTAAACAGTGTCGATCCGAGTCAGAGAAACACACTGAGCCAGAAGACTTTTGTTTGTTCAGCGTTGCTGCTACCAGAATTACAGTATTTTCGTCATTAAACAGTTTTGCTGCGCGATCATGCGCAGTAGACACCGATGCCAAGAGGAAGTAGCACTGTTGTAGTATTTTAATGCTCCAAAACTGGCTTCAGTGCTCTCCATTCAAATCAGGTGGCTTCGTCCAGTAATATACTGTCTATGATTGAGGCAAGTTACGTAAAATGACATGAGTGACGTAAGTTATTTTAACCCAAACCATGATCTTTTCCTAACCTTAACCAAGTAGTTTTGTTGCCTAAACCCAACCAAGTACTTTCTGTGGCTAAACCTAACCAAACTGCAACGTTTCATGACTTTAATAACGCTATGTTTCAAATTGGTGAAGTTTCAAAACGCTAGCGTTTTATTTTGAAAGTCTAACCGGACTTTGCATATTTATTGTTGCTAATTTTACCGGAACTTGACCACGGAGCCCTAAACGTCAGTAAATGACGCAAAAGGGGTACCCAGGTTGTTAGAAGGCAACGCCAAAGGGCCTTGACCAAGCGTCAATATGTGACGAGTCGGGAGTGAGAACGTGTTGTCCTGGTGGTGGTTTCATGTTATTGTTTTAAATGGCAGCTGTTGGAAGTAACACGCCAAGAAACGCAGTTAGCAGACATGGATGTAAGCAATGCAGGTTTCACAACATTTTTTTAAAATCAGCTTCACAAATGTTTTACAAGGAAGAAAATGCAACATATTTTTAGGCCTCAAGGATAAAAACAAATGCATTTATGCAGTTAATTCTGAATGTAAAAATAATTATTGTTGATAACTCCACAGGGTACCTTTAAAGATCAACTTAACGCCTCCCTGAAAATCTTTTTTTTGCTGTCCAGTGTTTTTTTTTTAACTCGCTTCAGTGATGTAGAAGTGCACTCTGGGGTGTGGCAGTACACTGCGACATCACTGTTGGGTGTGGTCACTGTCATCCAAATACTGCAGAACACTTAAAACAAATTTCATGAAAATCAGCAAGAGTTAAATGCAAATGAATGCCAGTTTCCATCCTCTACCATTATGCAAGAGTGTCAGTCAAGCCTCAAATGTTGAAAAACCATGTGGAAAACATGACAGATGGAGCGTTATCATTGCACGTCATCACATTTAGTTTTTATCTATACACCAACTTTTCCACCTCAGCCAAGCATCATTCTCTTTTTTTGTGATATTTTGACATTTTTTTTCAAATTTCCACTCAGGTTTTCAATTTCAGGTTCACAATTTGCAGGTGGATGGAAATACACTTATTGACGCCGGGTGTGGCGAAAGATGAAACAGACCTGACACATTCAACCAGAGAGGGCAGTGAAACGTTGCTTTTCAGCCTGGTGTTAACTTACTTTTTTAAGCTCATTCCTCTCAAAAGATGGGCACAAAAAGTCTACCTATAGCGACATTATGTTACTGTCTCATATCTTGTGTGCACTGTATGAGTGTTTATATTCATGTTTCTGTGTGTATACACTTTCCTGTGCTGCAAGCCACATTGCGGTAGTTTCTCATCCAGTTTACACAGTCTCCAACCTACAATAGTTGCAGAAGTGGGGCAGGTTTGTTGCGGCTGCACATGAAGTCAGTGTCAGGCTGATGGAGTCGTTTAGCTAACGATGACTCTACACTATGTGACTGGAAGCCTCGCTTGGTTGCTCTCATGTTACAGTCGTGCAGTCTATAGATCAGTTGTCAGTGTGGAAATAGGCCTCTGGAGTAGTAGTAGTAGAGTGTGTGTGTGTGTGTGTGTGTTTGTGTGTGTGTGTGTGTGTGTGGTGTGTGTTCATGTATGCGTGATTGTGTTAGTGTGTTTAAGTGGGGCAGAGCAATCGCAGAGCATCTCTGTGAGCAGCATGGACGAGTGATTCATGAGCCCAGACTGATCCAAACCCCTATTCCTCCCTCCTGCTCCGCTTCCTCCCTGTCCGTCACGGGACGGATGGGCGGTTAGAGATGATAAACGTCAAACTCTGGATTGAGGTGGGGTTGGGGACAATCGAGGTCACCATCAGAAACGTGAATTCATCCTGACTGATGTAGTTAGCAGCTGTATTGAAGACTGAATGATAGTCTGGCTTTTAGTAATTTTCTGAGCTGAGTGGCTTCAAATGCCCAGGATGAATGGGCATGGTTAAATGATAACTCTCCAGAGGGCTTGGCCAAGTGTGTGCATGTGTGTGTGTGTATGTGTGTGTGTTTGTGCATACATGCGTGCATGTTTATGGCTATGGTGACGGTATATCTTTATGTGGATAAAGAAGAGTGACAACAGTTTTCTTTACTTATTGTAGGGTATCGCACTTCCTCACTCATTAAAACATAGATTTTCTCTCTCTCTCTCTCTCTCTCTCTCTCTCTCTCAAACACACAGACTCACCCACATGAACAATAACTCCCAAGGTCATAGCTAAAGTCAGAGCCGCAGGCCCAAGAACATTAACACTCCTGTTTTGGTCTCTCTTACCATGCATCACTACATCCTCTTATCTTCCCTTTCATTCTCAATCTGACACTGTCATCAGCTTTCACACAATGCAGGCACGCACACACTCAAAACACACATACACACACACACACACACACACACACACACACACACAATCTTTAGGCTGTCATTATCAGATCATTTGTTCAAGGGGAAGCTTAGAGGCATACATGCTTTTAAACAACCTGCAGATTGCTGGTGTCAATCCTTCTTATGTTACATCACATTTATAAAAAGACATTTGACCTACAAGAGCGTGACCTCACCAATACATACCTGAACATATCCCATAAACACAGTGGTTCCTTATTTGGAAGGCGCAGCTATCATCGGTTTTACGCTGGCGACAAATATAGAGCTGTTTAGCAGACAGAAAAAGTACATTTCTTTACCAGCAGTAGGTCAGAGGACAGGGGAGTAAGTCAGTGTGCAAAAAGGATGAGATGTGTGTGTGTTTGTGTGTGTGCTTGGGGCTATTCTGGTGTTAACAGTTCACAGCACTGTACACAGGACAGAGTAAAAATGCTTCTGATCTAAGAAGGTGTTTGTGTGCACAAATGGAAAAAGTGTATTCTGTAATCTATGAAGGAGCTAAAAGTTGTATAGACATATATTCACAGTGCCTGGACTCAGACTGCTTGGAGTTTTGTTGGAGTCAGTGCAGCTATTATTCGTGCCCGCTGGAGAAAAGTGTAAAGGCCGGGGAGTTCAAAGAAATCGACGTGTTATTGCTCAGAAAATCATTGCAGAGGGCGGTGTTCTGGTTGCGGCTGGTGTAAGCAAGTGATGTATAAGAGGGAGGGGCTGCTTTGTAATTTCTCCCCTCCCCTAATCATCTCTTGATACGTATGTGTGTGTGTAACTGTCCGTGTGTCTGGTACATTGATACGTTATTACACAGAGGAGGAAACATCATTAGCCTGCTGATTAGAGATCAGAGGTGCTGTGTTAGAGCTGCAGATTGCAGATGTCCTCAGAGGCGACAGACCTGCAGAGACCGAACAGTCCTCACTGTATGTGTTTGTGTGTAAGTGAATGTGTGTGTGTTTGTCCAATATGGGATTTCTGATATATCTGCTGAAGTAAAGCATATTATGTCCCTTCTTTGTCGTTCCTTTTAGAGTTTTCTTTAGTTTTGTACATCATGAATCATAAGCAATAAAGAACATAAGGATGAAGTATGGATGAAAAGTAGTTTTCTAAGACTTTACTTGTTAAAACTGAAAAAGTGATTTGAATTCTTGTGCTGCAATAGAACAGGAATTCATGAATAAAAACTACTCAGTTAAATGTTGTAAGAATTTTTATAACACATATACTGGAAATCTTTTAATTGTCTCAAAACACTTCTTCTTCCTTTACTCATACATACGTGCTAATAATGAGTCTTGGAATGCATTAATTCAGGGCGTTAAAAGTATCTATAGGTCTGTCAGTTCATCAGCTTTAAGTTTGATACCATTTATGGTCTGCATTTTTTTCAGCATTAGCTATTGAATATACTTATATTTTGTATGTAATTTTTGTATTATCTCTCTACATGGTAGTGTTAGTGGCCAAGTCTGTCATTCACATTGCCTACCTACGCACAAGATTCGCAAGAAAATGATGCATGCACGTAATCCAATGCAATTTTATCTCATTTATAACTAATGCAGTTTTTAAGTTACTGCTAATGCTTAGTGAATATCTCCTACTGCTGCTAGTTTGCATTAAAAGCATTCAACTGATGAAACACGGGGTGGCTTTAATTGTGAAATTTGCAATTATTTTTGACCGACTTCTCTGTTAAAATGTGACTTTGTTTGGCTGTATTGTAAACAGATACAGCAGTTGCTCTTCTGTTGTATTTCCGACAGAGAAGCTATTCAATGAGTGTTTGCTGTATTATTGACGTTACCAGGGTAATCACGAGTTGAGCTGGCCGGAAGGCGTTGGTGTCTACACAGGCATAGAATTTAGTAGGATGTGTCCCTATTAATATCCAGCGACTAACGAATTGCTCCTAGCAATAGTTTTGATCCAAAAGTTAAAAGGTAACCACTATTGTCTGTCAGTGTCTAGTCAATGTATTTGGTAAAAAAAAAAGTCCACTACTAGTGGAATACTCTAAGTCCAATGCATTTTGAGGGTTTGAAAAATTATGTCCTCATTTCCTCAATGACATCGTTTTGTTCCACACACAAATTTATCTCCTGAACCTAATGTGTTTAATTGACCCATAATTGTTTAAAACTCTCAGTCCTTTCATCACATCATGTAAGTTCTTTGACGTTAGCTTCAGTCATTGAGATAAAAAGTTTTGATGTCATATAGGCTACTTTTTGGTTTGTGGTCTTTGTAAAAACATATTTTCACAGTCTTATACTGACAGAAGTCATATGTGTAAATCAAAAAGTCCCTGCAAGGGAATGAGAGACAAAGTAAACAGACCTGTAGTCTACATGTCATGGCCAGACGGTCTGTTGTTTGTGGTATTGACCACACCAGCATCTAACCGGACCCAAGTGACATTTACAGGTATGTTAACATGCTGTTGAATGTGCTGGAGCTGTGTATATGTTTGCTTAGTCACTAGATCAACAAGCTAAGGTGCAGATCAAGATGTGTGTTTATGTTGGTAAGTTAGGTAAGAAGGAGACCTTAGCAAGAAAGCTAATGTGGGTTGTTAGTTTGCAGCTCTTGTGTTATGTAGCAGACGGCTGTCTGGCTCTGATCGAACGCTGACGTTACTGCTTTATGCAAGATTTCATTGGCTAAATAAGGTCTCCATCTAAGTTGACCTAAATGTTTCTAAATCAATATGTTTTAATGCTAAACTTGGGGTGCCATCATGAAACCAAAAAATATAAAATTGACATTTCTGTTTTGGTTTCTCATATTTTGTCAAAGCTGAACACAAGACAAGTGATTTACAGTGTAGATATGTATGTTGTGGAAAAATGCAATTTAATTTCAGTTGGATAATAACTTTACATGATGTCCATTGAGAATGATACTTGTGTATGTATGTGTGTATGTGTGCATTTTGCTGCAGTAGCTCGTAGAGGCTCAGTTTCAGATAACCTCCACTCTGTAAGGATGGTGAGAGCAATCTCAGAGAAACTGAGATTCTCTCTCACAATCACACAGTGCACAGGGAAACTCAACACTTCTGTAGACCTCAATAATCTTCGAGCCTGGCTATGCTCAGTTCTATAAATCAATTTAATGTATATTGGACACAATCTGTCTGTCATGTGTGGCTCTCCATTACTCAGATATTTGACCCCCTGCACACACACCACAAAAACAGACACAAACACAAACAGTGGGCAGTGGGATGGAGTTGGGAGCTTAGAGCAAGAAGCAGAGGCTCACAGACGACTTCAGTGAATGCACACACGAATGATTCACTCCCGTCTCTCGCCTCGACAACTTTTCTTTCCCCTCTTTATCTGTCCTTGCACCCCACTCCCACCTGCTTGGCTCACAGCACTCTACCCTTCCACTTTTTCTTTCTTTCCACTCCCCACATCCCTTCGTTTCACTTGTGCTGCCAAGATGCCAGCCACTCCACTTGCAAAGAGCAGGCTAATCCGTCATGCGGCCCTCAAAACTCTGCCTGCTGGATCTTACAGCTCTGGAGCTTCCTTCTGAGAGAGACAGGAAGGATAACAAACAGACAGGCGGACACAGACAGACAGAAACAGCAAGTGTGTAGTATAAGAACACAAAAGCCCAGAAGCACAAAAGCAATGCTAGAGACAAAACATTTTGTGTTCTCACAACCATTACTGTGTGTTTGTGAGTGTGTGTGGGTGTGTGCCTGAGTTTGTGCGTTCAGTCTGATCCCGTTATTTCTCTGAGGGTGATGTTAGAGCGTGAGCATGAAGCACAGAGACCATCTAATGCAATAAGTCAATAATACATCCCATCATTGCACACACACACACACACACACACAGGCACACATGCACAGACAGCATAAAACAGCCTTCCAGGGGTGAGATGAGCATTTTCTTCTTTGTGGATCCTTTCTTTTTGAACCAGTTCATGTCTTTATGTTGTCCTTTACATCCTCTGTACTCACCATTACCAGCAGGGCTGCAGTGGACAAAACTGTAGTAGAGATCACGTTCTTGTTTCATTGGGCTATTTTATGAAAAGTCAACTCTCAATTTCTGTGTATGCATCACTTTCAACGTGACCCCACTTATACGCTACACACACACACACACACACACACACACACACACACACACACACACACACACACACACACACACACACACACATCCTTGTACTTCTATAGTTGTGAGGACCCTCACTGACGTAATGCTTTCCCTGGACCCTTACCCTAACCTTAACCATCACAACTAAAATGCCAACCCTAACCTAAATTTAATTCTACCCTAACCCTTAAAACCAAGTCTTAACCTTCAAGCAACCCTTTGAAGTTGGGAGGACCGGCCAGAATGTCCTCACTTTCCAAAAATGTCCTCACTCTTGTTACAGTCCTCACTATGTAGGAAGTACAAGTACAAACACACACACACACACACACACACACACACACACACACATACACACACAAACACACACACACACACACACGTACACACACACATACACACACTTTCTAGCATAAAAGCCTTTCTGTAGATTACATTGTGTGGGAGCAGAGGAGGGCATAGCTGTCAGCAGGATTCCCTCTGCTTGCTTGCCCTTGAATGGTGTTAAGAGCATGGACTCACTGATGGTTGTAGCATAAAGGACAGCACCTTAAACAGATGGCCATGCTGGAAAGGATAGTTGTGAGACTTACAGTGAAATTTGGTATTTTTCAAACTGGGTCTCATCATAATCATGTCCATTGTGGCTAATGGGTCTTGCTAACTATGCACTCGCCACCTCTGTTGTAGAGATTCAGGAAATGTGACTCCAGCAACAGAACATAAATCGCCGCAAGCAGCACAAACCTCCCAAAGCTTTCCAAATAAACTTGAATTTTACATACATCAATTCAAATGCTTGTCTCTTAGTCATACCAAATAGCCTGAACACAGAAGGTACTCCCTCTGCTTCTGCAGCTGACTAAACAGGGATCTACCAGGCCAACAGTAGTTTGGCAAGTTCAAAGTTAGCATGAGTCAGAATGGCCACAATTGCAAGAATAAGACCCAGATGGAAAAATACTGGAGTTTTCTCTTAACATTGGTTATCGTACAATAGAAAGAGTGCTCAGAGTTAATGAGGAGCTTTTGAACACCTTTACCTGACAGAGACATTTCTTTCAGTAGATGCTGAGTGGACTGTGTGTGAAACAAACCAGTAGGTAACTGTACTAAAAAGATAGATGCTAGATGTCCATCCTAGAAAATTCAACATATCGTAGTATGATTAAAACTTGAAGTGAAGACAGTATTTATATAATTCTATATTTATTAGCTAAAATTTCTGCAAATGAACCAGAACTAGTGTTCTTGTTCATGCTTTACATCGTGGTTTAAAAGGTTTCAGGCTGTGGACAGGGGTTATATTAATAAGCAAAAAAGCAGTATCAGGTGTGAAAAGTGGCAAGCGCCTTTTCTAGCACGCCCAGAATGTGACCAGCTGAGAGAGACACAGAGGTCACAGGTCACAGCAGGGCTACAGACAGATGTTTCATAATTACATGAACATGACACACTTTCTATACATTAGAAACCCACCTTGTGCACTCACACAGACAAACAACACACGGAGCAATGCACCTTGGGGTCGTTGACCTATATTATATAGGGCCTATACAGACACACACACAGCCTGGCAACAATCACTGGCCTATAATGTTGGTTGTCTGACTTACAGTAGCTCTCGTCTTTCTAGTCTCTCATCTTTTGCTTTGCGCACTTCTAGACACACACACACACACACACACACACACACACACACACACACACATACAGACTATTATGGTATGAATCTATGCAGAACTTGCTTCTGTATGACTAGCAGTTCTGGCTATTTAAAACTGCAGTAACTTATATTAAGTGACATTTTATCTTTTACTATTATTAAAATGATAGTGATGTTCAATCGACTGTGGTCTCCCTCTTTCTGAAACGTGTCTTCTTTGGGTCTTTTCTAAGTTCTGTGTCACAGTGATGTGAAAAAGTACACCTAATATATCAGTAGAATGTGTGGATGGAGGGACGGAGGGCAGAGAGGTGATCGATTTAGCCTCTGCACCAACGCCCTGGCACAGAAGATGGGATGGAGGGGCGGGAGGTACATAATGCTGCTACACCTGCAACCTTACTTGAACCTTGTCAACCCTAAACACTTCTCTCACTTGTCTTGCCTGTTAATGTCTTTTCCTATCTCACAACCTCTCTGATTCCCTTTTGCAGTTCTTTCCGCCCCCTTTGTGGCCCCAGTGTTTCTTCCCTCTCCTGTTTGATCTTGTTTTTTCTCTCACTCTGCCTCTCTCTCCTTATTTGTCTTGTCTTTTGCTCTCCTTCGCTTTACCTCCCTCACTTATCTCCTCTCCTCTTTTTGGCAGGAACAGCGGTTTTATTATCCAACCTCACCTCTGCCAGGATGGGTCAGATACCGCAGTGGAGCTGTCTTCACTTGGCACTTAATGTAATGCAAGAGAAAAAAAACACAGCTGAGAGAGGTAGAAAGAGTGACACACAGGAAGAGAGTTTACCCGGCACGTACTGTAGGTGAGAAGGTTTTGCATGGCAGCACGGCTAATGGTGCAAAATGTGTATTTATGTGTTTGTGCAAGTGTTAAGTAGGTAAAATGTTTGTGCTGTGTGTGCTGGAGCCCTGCTTGGTTAGCGGTGCGTCACTGTGGCTGTGGGCATTCTCAGGAGAGATGGTAGACCAGACATGGCACGCCAAAGCCAGAATGCCAGGCCTGGTCTCTGCTGCCAGCTCCAAGGAGCCTCAATCGATCCTGACAGCTCAGTGTGTCACCAGGTCACACTGACACACTGAGGCAGAAAAACAAGGACAAGGAGAGTACTCTCCTTTTACCATTACCATAGCAAATCCTGTGTGCATACCTAATCGTCCCTTATCGTGATTTTATTTCATATTTTCTACTACAGCCACAAAAGTCAAGCAAAGACAGGAAGTTGAGAGTGTGGTTGTGCATCTCATCTTGTTGGGAAATTCCTTTGATTCAGTTCATCCAACTGACTTGGGCACACGGATTGTCCCAATTCTCATAAGAAACAGGCACAGTCATTTTAATAATAGTAGGTTTCAAGTTTACAAAAACACTACACCTCCCATAGTGCAGTTCAATATTATATTTCATCAAAACCTCCCATCGCGGGGGGCTGGAGCCAATCCCAGCTGACCTCGGGCGAAAGGCACCTGTAAGTGCCCATGTCATGCAAACGCTGCTGTTCCAGTTTGTAACATAGGATTTCTGTTAAAAATACTCTCCAAGTTGAGATAGCCACACGATGCCATCACATCACCAGGGTTATTATTTTCAAATGCTCCTGATCTTGATGCTAGATTAGGAGGTGTTTCACCTTGAATTTTGATTCTAACTTTAGCTTGAGGTTAAAGAAAGTGGTAAATAGAATCACATTGTTTTAAGAACATCCAAATAAAAAATAAAAAAAGTATGTGAGGTATAAAACAAGAACTTTATGCAAATAATTTCCCTCGCCACTGAACAATGGTTTACATAATGTAGTGACAACTGAATCATGATGGAAAAAGACACAGTACTGTTTGTGCCCCGAGCTTGACTGAAAATGATGGACAAATGTCCCCAGCAGACGTTTGGCTTTCTGACCTCGACCTGCTGACCTGCTGACTGGTCGTCTAATCTCCCTCCAGGACTGAACCTTTGAACTTGTAGAGAAACTGGGGCGAGGCCAACCTGACTGGTGTGGTGCCTGAGAGTATTGTTAAGAAGACCTGTAAATCAGGATTCCCACACCTGCTTCGGACAGGCAGGGGGAGAGGGAGAGGAAGACGACAGGGAGACAAATCATTTTTCAATCACGTGACACGTGATCTGGAGGGCAAAACAACAGACCAACATTGCGGCCTTACCATAGAGACGTCGCAAAAGCAGTCAAATTTTATTTGGATCACCTTTCAACTTAAGAAAAAGAAAGATATGAACACAAACTGCAAGTGTTGGGCATATCCGATCCATGTAACATTACAGAATCCACTGCCGTATTTCTACTGTTAAAAACCACCAGGTTCCTGCCGACACTCGACTGCAGTATGTTTACGCTTACCTTGTGGGGAATCCCTCACCTAACACAGCCCAGGCTTGTCTCCTTCTCGATAAAATCTAAAGCACAACAACCATTTGTCAACACAAACGTAACAAACTCAAAGAAACAGTGTATGTATTCCTGGTTAGCAGGCAGCAGAAAATAACGTATTTTTTGCCCTCCAAGGGAGCTATTTCTTTGGAATGTGACGTCACATGAAAACTACGAATAGGAAAGAGATGAACAGAGAAACAAATTGATGTGAAAGAAACAGAGAAATCACACTGCCATCCTCCACTCAAGTGTCAGGCTGAGCTCAGATCTGACACACAGAAGGAACGCTTTCCAGATTTGTCTAGATCTCTAACCCGAGCCCAAACAATGTGTGCTTCCCTTTTACATTCAGCAGGTTGTCACAGGAAGATGTGTATCTGTGCTGAGCAGCAGGAGAAGGTGAACCAGCCGCTGTGCCTCAGATTAAAGCTCAGAATAGCAGCTCAGTGTTCCTGTAATAGAGCTCGTCTTCCTCTGAGACTAACAGCTCATTACCACAGGACTGCCCCCAAGGAACCCCCGACACCCACCCCACACCCCCACTACAGACCTCTCATCATGACCTCACCCCTGACATGGAGCCCCTAGATCCTGACGCATATCTACGCAAATACAGTCCTTCAAAGTAACTCCCAGTCATCCTCCTGCTTTTGTATTTCACCTTCCTCTCCACCATCATTGCAGTTGTCAGACATTTGACCCATCTTTCTTCTAACTGAACCACACACACACACATACAAGCACACCTCTCCAAGGCCTCTGTTCCCCTCTGTCCCCTTGCAGGGTGGCTCTTGTCGACACCTTTCCTGATTTGGACATTTTTGATGAGAATTCCCCACCTCAATCTATGCTGTTTCCCTACTTAACCCTCCCAGGGGCTTCCCAGATCTGCTCTGACACACACACACACACACACACACACACACTGACGCAGACACACGCAGACAAAAACACACAAAAATGACTGGATCGTGCTCGTTGTGTTGCGCACACGCACATGGTTGCTTCGTTGTAGCCTTAATGAGGTCTCATCATGTCTTTTACTTTCTCTCCTCCTCTCTCCACTCTCTCTTTTTCTCCTATTCAA